GAGAAATCACCCCCCAGGGGAGATGGCCACACTATAATCCCTTCTCCTCCATTGTCCTCTTGGGGTCCTGGGCATGCACACATAAGCACCTGGAGTGAATTTAAGCCACCGGGTCCGTGACTCAAACTGTGGTCGATGCCATGGGAGTCCAGCAACATAATCATTACGCCAACTGCTGGTCCTGAGAGAACTAATATTTAAATTAATATTCTTTTTTTTCCCTTAATGTACAGATGCATTCAAGGCAATTGGACATATGATGAGACTATGCTTGTGTTATGGAAAGACGAATATATTGTGTGTGTGTTAAATTCCTGTTGCATGTGTTTCTTAGTACCTAGAAGGTTATTGACAATGGTCTCTGTAATATTTTTTTTTTCTTAAGAGAGATTTTTTTTGCTACTGGGCTTGTGCGCTTGCCAGAGAGAGAGAGAGAGACAGAGAGGCAGAAAGCAAGAAATCACCCCCCAGCAAGTATGGCCACACCACAATCCCTTCTCCTCCATTCTTTCAAGATTTTTGGGCACACCTGCACATGCACCCCGCATGAGTTTTAAGCCGTCGGGTCCAGACTCAAACCACGGTTGACTACATGGGAATCCAGCAATACAACCACCACACCATCTGCTAGTCTCTGTAATAAATATTTTAAACACAGATTAAATTGCTTGTTCTGTAGTCTAATTTTTTTATTCTTTTAGTATCCTTCACTACTGGAGTATGTTAAATAAACTTCAGTATTAGAAGATTTGCTTGACTGCCTCTAATGATAATTACTAACAGAAAAATACTAATAGAATGCTTTCTGTTAGTAGTTCTCATCCTGTAAAGACTTTTTATAAAAGAAGAAAAATTGGCATGATCTAAATTACTGTATCTTGATAGAAGTGCCTTCTGGCTAGCAAGCAATCTTTATTTGGAATATAGTTGAGTTAGCCAGATGGCAAATTCCTTTTAGTTGCTGTCCCGCACTTTGAAGAACTGTGTGACTTGAATGTCACATTTAAAACATCAGAAAGCAATTTAACTGTATTTACTGACAAAAGGAAATGAATTGGCCTATTGTTGTTGTTATACTCTAAGTGAACCCTTAGAACACCGTAACACAGAAATCTAATAATGCTGGTGTATTTTTACATGAACAATCTATCTAATTTTAGAGTTGGGAGGATATGGTGACCAATGATGGCAACACTTTAGCCTGCCATCTCAAAATTCTGTTCCGCAGGAAAGCAGATCTCTTTAATTTGACTCATCCACTAAGTGGGATAATTTTTTCAAGTCAAGGATAGCAGTTACTTGAGGGATAGCAATGTAATATTCGTATTTGAAAATGTGTATAATGTGCTACATGAGACACTGAGCCCACTTTATCCCATTAACCTGGAAATGAAATACCGCAAGTCTCAAGTATAAACACAGTAGTAT